TAAACTATCTTTATCTCAATCCATGAGTTTTCTGCTTTTTACCCTTCTGATTCTCTCCAAGATCCCGCTGGTGGGGGAGTGTGGCAGCGACAGCATGGTGCTTGGCTGCTGGCTGGGGTCAAACCACAAAATCCTGCTGACCTCTTAAACAGTGATTGCAAATATATGGAAATATATCAGATATGCAGACAACAGAAACTTAAAAACAATCCGAGAGCCCAAAGAGAAGGATTTTGAGACACCTTTTGAAAAACGTTCAGCAATCTTTTACCATCAACTTAGCAGTTTCCTAGAACCTACACAATAAAATACCATCCATTAGAACAGCAATTAGGAAAGCATCAGGTACATTTTCTGCAAATTGGTCATAATTGGACAATTCTGTGACATAAGCAAAGATATCCTTGTTTAAGTAATTTATCAAATAATATCAAATAACCGATTTTACAAATGCTACAGCAAACATCTGACCTCTCCTGAGAATATTTTGTGCCCTGTTCTACAGTTGTGTGAACAAAAACCTTTGTCATATAACTACCACTTGGCTGGAATGATTAAAACTTATTGCACAGAGAAAACACTCTTTTTCATCCATATTCTGGAGCATTTAAACTAAAAAGTCAATGAAGACCCTTTGCAGGGCCCTGACCAGCTGTTCTCCAGTGCCCTAGTGTCACCTGAAGCCAGGACAAGGGAACAGACTCAAGAAACAAATCAATTCTGAAAAACTAGTCAGAAGTGGTCAGACTAACCAAACACTGTCTAACACTGATACAGGACACATGGACTGAACAAAGCCCCAGGCAATCCAGTCTAACCCCAGAGACGTGCCTGCTTTGAGCAGGTCAGACTAGACACCTCTCAAGGTCCCTTCTAACCTAAATTACACCATGATCTTAGATGGCAAATGAACTTGTGTCTATACCCTTCATTTCTCAAACCTATCTTTCCTTATTCCAAAACTCCTAGTGCTAACAGCTGCCAAGAAAACCACATGTCCAGCTTCTAGCATAGGATTTGCTTACTCTTTATTAAATCCTTACATTTTCTTCCCAACCTCTCTTCCTCATTTCTTCCTATTTTAAATGTCACCCATTGAAGTAGTATTTCTAAATGTTGGGTTTTCATCAGTGCCCAGCCACCAGTTAGGTCCAGACTTGTAGCTTGATGTAGATCCTTTCCTAGAATGTCTTCTCCATATATTTCCTGCAGAGATGAGTCTTCCACATAAAATACCATGAAAACTAGAGAACAGCAGGCCTCAAGCGCACAGAAACATGTTGGTGGACCTTCTAAACGGAAGGGATGAAGAACTAGAAAGAAACATGATAGATTCCACCTTCAGACTTTCAAATTTCTAATTTCCAATTTATTCTTAGTAACTATGTGCAGAGCAATTTTTGCAAAATGATTTTATAGTCCATAATGTCCCCTACAGCAATAGAAAAGAAAAAGAAGGTAGTCAGAAACAGAATAAGTTATGGGAGGTTACACAGCCACCATGACTGAATAGTCAAACCTATGACAACCATTTATCAAACTGGCATAAAAATAACAACACATGTATCTTACCATAAATGCAGTGTGGGAGGAGAGGCAGACGATAAGATAATGCAATGCTTTGCACTTCGGTGGCGTAAGCTAAAGACCTCCATCTATTTTACAAACACACATTTAGCTTCAAGCCTAGAGTGCAAACAATTAATAGCTCTGTTGTCCTTTGTGCCAGTGAGTCACCACAAAAAAAACTAAGAGGCTGATCTGCACGTTACTGCAAACATCCAGTGCTGTGTACACTGAGCAAAGCAAGCCTGCTTCGCTGGTCATGGCAGTGCCTATTCCCAACTAGGCACCCAACAAGTTCAGCTCCCTCAGCTCCCCTGTGAACTCAACAAAACCTTGGACCAAATAGTCCCTATCTCTCTTTCAGGCAGGATCTGGCCAAAAGTTACTCCCCCTGTAACTCCCAGAAAGCCCACAAAACCTTATTCATCTGTTCTGAAGTCCACCAAAATAACCCTTGAAAACAAGTATGGTAAATTTTGGGTTGGACAATTAAAAAGGAAAACATGACTAACAAAGCTTAAATGTAAACCAGCCAGAGACTCAAAACTTACGGCACCTACCATACTTTACAGTCATCAGCTGTAGCACAGTTCCATCAGGTTATGACTTTGGTATTAACTGAAGCTGGCAGATGAATCCACCTGTAGTGACTGATTTAGGTGACAGACTAATGTGGGCCAATGGCTTGCAGTTCTGCCATCTTTAGTTGAACACAGATACTCTATTTTCAGCAAGCAGACCTGGTTGACCAGTTAGAAACACACAAATCAGCTATAAACACGCAAATGGGCATCCTAACCCTTATGTGAAGGGGCTACTAGCTAGGGCTAGTAGAGGTGATCAGCACTATCCTTTGGGATCCAGAGAACTCTTCAATGACCTTTATTTAGATCAGTAGGTCAGTCCTTTTTTTACAGTAATTCCAACTCGATCATCAACAAATTATTCGATGTAAGACTATAGATGTGTTATAAAGTCTTATGTCTATTATTATAGACATAACAACATCATTATGATCTTTTCAGACATCTTATCCAAAGACAGTTGAACTTCAGTGTGCAGGATATGCTAGTGACCATACTCTGTGTGTATGTGTGTGTTTATAAAGTATCCTCTTACTGAAAATGTGTCAAAGTGCAAAGCTGTAAATAAGCCCTATGAAAAACTGGGCTAACTCAAGAGTGACACTGAAACACAGGAAGTTTATGAATAATAAATAACATGTGGTGAAATATGTTGGTAGTGAAACTTCTGGCTTTGCATATTGAACGTGGTGCTTAGAAGCCAAAGAGGCATTTTGGAGAAAGACGGGTAAGACTTGGAAAATCCTAACAGCAGCAAGTTGCTCTACAGGAGGAATAAAAAGGTGTAACAGAATTACTAATGACATGATTAAACTTGTGTGTTAGCCTGGCCTCTCAAAATGCACAGCTTTGTGGGATGCTATCAAAGATGAGTCTCCAGTCACAAACACAGGGAAGAAAAGGTACTTCTTTATAAGATGACGTTCAAGATAGGGAAGACTGAACACCTGAGACACCTGTAGGAACACATGAAGGACCACGCTGGACAAGCCTTGCTGCCCCCACTTCTGGCAGTTGCCAAAACAGGACAGAGGAAAAAAAACATAAAGAAATTCTTTGTACAGAACAATTTGCCCCCAGTGCAAGGATTGCTTTTTCTACTCTAACCAATACTGATTAATAATTTGGTGCATAAAAGCTTAGAGCTCTCCTTAAGTTTGTATTTATTTGGTGTTAAATGAATGTTCTCATTAATCACAATAAATAGTTCCTTTTTTTTTTTTTTAAGCTCTTGACTGTAACAACCAAATTATACTAATCACACATTTCCCTCACATGTAGGTTTATGTTGTGTGCCAAGGACTAAGGCAGTTTGCCCATTCTACATATAATTAGTTCATTAAGTGTTTACTTTCCACTAACTACACCTCTTCTGCCTACACACACACACAGAGTGCATCTAGTAGGGTCCTCCAGATTGACAGCTGGATTGAGAGTTTACATGTTCTTTCTGAGGCAATGTTTTGACGTTCAGTGGAGACTTCAGGAGGAGACTTCAGTGGAGACTGCACTGTTTTGTAAAATCCTGTGTGCCCTCTACTCTTTCCCTTTTAGGAGTCATAGGGACACAGGTGAGTTCTTTTCCAGAAACCTGAAGATCCTCCCCAGCAGCCCAGGCACTCAACACAAGTAGAGCAGAAGTCTCAGATCCTACAGTAAAATCTTCATGTGGCCACAGATCAGCAGACTAACACATCCCTATCCTCAGGAGTCAGGAACAGCCTGGGAAGAGGAGGAGCTGATGACGACTGTGGAGGGCGTACCAGGCCACCTCTTTTTGGAGGGAGACAAGAAGGTTGGTCAGGATTGTTTTGTTTCTTCACACAGTCAGTGCTCCACGGGACCTTTGTGAACAGAAGGGAGGGAGCAAAATTCCCTTGTCTGTGTGGCCCCAAGTGGCAGGATGACACATCTGTTTGGAGCCCATGATACTTTTGGAACGTGCAGCCATACACAGCTGGGCTCCAGGTGGGACAGCCTCCCACCAAGTGCCCTTGGGAGGACTAGTGCCCCATACAGGGCCCAGAAACTTCTCTCAGGGAGGAGCAGCTACTGCAATGGAGACCTGTGCCCACCTGCCCAGGATTGCAACAGGGTGCTGGTCCTCCTCAAGGAGGTGCCAACAGGGCCTGTTAGAGGGATAAAGGGGGCAAGGTCACATCTCTGGAGAAAGCTAAACACTGGATGATGCCACACACCCCCTCCTGCCACCAACAGGTGCATTTGCCCTGATGGAAGAGAAAACGGCTTGGAAAACTGCTTTCATTCTCTGGCTTGCTCCCCTGAATGCTAATCAGTGGCGCCGGCTAAAAATACCCATCCAGGCTGGCGTGTGCACGGCAGATGGGGAAAAAAAGGGGAAGCTGGAGGCTACGGCTTCCTGGAAGGAAAGAGACTTGCGAGGGAGAGCGTTCCTCAAGGCCCCCTCCCCGTCGGGCGCCTGGCTGCCAGCACAGGCATGGCCCCCTGCTCCCCCGCTCCGAGGATGAGGTTCCAACCTCTCCTTCAAAAGGCCACCGCGGGTGCTCCCCGAGGAGTCGCCGGGCCACCCTCTGCCAGGGCAACTGGCGGCACCACCCCTGAACCGGCTTCCACCCTCGGCGCTGCGGGAGCGCCCGGACGGGGCGCCCCGAGCCGGCCGCCTCAGGCTGTCGTCCCCCGAGCCCTGCCGCTCACGGAGCGGGCCCGGCGGGGCGCAATCCCACGGGATTCACCGGCGGTGCACTGAACAAAGAAGGGTGCTGGGGACCACCGCCTCCGCGGGCACGGAGGACCCGCGCCGGGCAGCGCGGCGCGCTCGGTCCACTCGCTGCATCAGAGCCGCCGACACACCGCAACGCAGTCGCAGCGATGCACGGCGGCTCGCCGGCCTCCTGGCGAGCGCAAGCGCTAAGAAATAAATAAATAAAATAAAGAGGGGGAGAGAAGACAGGAACAAGCGGCAGCCCTCGGCAACGGAAGCCGCGGGGGGTGTTCAAACCACCGCCACCCCCTGCCCCAGCTGCGCGTCCCTCGCCGTGCCCACCGGTGAGGAGCCGGCCGGAGGGCGGCGTGCGGCCCCCCCCCGCACCACGCGGGTGGGAGGGCGGGCTGGCCAGCCCCGCCGCCCCCGAGCCTCGCCGGGGGTCGCGCTCTGCCCCCGCCACCCGCAGCGGGCCGGCGGGCCGCCCCCTCCGTCCCCCCGCCCGCCGCGGCTCCCATCCATAATTAATCGCCTCCCCGCAGCCGCCGCGATAAGAGAGGGCGGGCGGGGACGAGGAGGCGGCGGCGGCCGGGAGGCGGTGGGGGGAGCGTTGCGCGCTCGCCGCGCCCGGCTCACTGCGGCC